GCAGCGCCGGACGCCGGACAGTGCAATGAAAATCCGGACTGTCCGCCCTAAAGCCGGACATCTGGCCACCCTACATAGAGTTGATCTGCTGACTCCACATCTTCCACCTCTGCTTTCTGCATGCTAAACCTCTACTTCTAACTACTGTTGCACCGATGCCATTTTTTGGCCACCAATACCTGGCTGTGCAGTATCGGCTGATACGATACCATCTGCTTGAAATTGATGTTTGTGTGTATATATATATATATATATATATATATATATATATATATATATATATATATATATATACAGAACTGCATCCTACTTAGATGTAAAATAATAGCCATCATGGCTTTGTCAAGCTGCCGCCTACCTTTGTGAAGCAGGAAAAAGACTAAAACAAAGTGAATCCAGTAGAACTTTTTTATTGCCTACCTGGAATGGGTGACAATAGTTGAATAAACTTTGGCTCTCAAAATGGTATCGGTATTTGTTGGTACTCACCAATACAGATACCACCATTTTAGTGGTGGATCGAGGCGCCACCCAATTCTGGTAAATGGAAATCAATAAATGAATGCAACAAAAAAACATTAGCAAAGTCGGTCCTCTGTCACCTAAAGTGCATCTCCAGGTTTAAAGGACAGTGTCTCGCCAGGGGCATGGAAAAAACAAATGTATCTTTAGTAGAATTGATCAGCGTAGGGTTGTTTTTAATGCTTGGGCTACAAAGTGGATCAGAAAGCTGCAGCTGATCTAGAACGCTGCTGCTTGCGTCCTCACTAAAACTAAGAAAATAGAGCACATCAGCCTAGTTCTGAAGTCCTTCCTCTGGTTCCTCGTATCTCACAGAACAGAATTCAGAACACTGTGAATCAGTGAATGGTTTAGCTCCATAATACAACACAGACTTGTTGTCGTGGATAAATGGGCAGACTTCTCAGCTCTACCGGATCTAATCTACAACTAACACCCAAAACCAAACACGGAGAAGCAGCTTTTATTTCTTATGCTCCACTTATCTGGAATAAAATCCCAGAAAACTGTAAAAGTGCTGAAAGCCTAAACTACTTTAAATCAAAACAGGTTTACTATCAAAATTAAAGGCCTTTGACTGGTTTATCTAAACATTGTTAGTTATGTTTTCACTCCCAACTTTCCATTTTATTTAATTTTTTTATCAATTGTATCTTTTTTTAATGTAATCATGTTATTTTAATGATTTTAATATATTCTCTTTAATTATTTGTGTTGCCTTTATGCTGCTTTAGTGTCATGTACAGCCTGCTGATATGCTTAATAGATAAACTTGCCTTGATGTCTGTGCTGTAGGAGGATCACTGCAGAGGTTCAGTGTTAACCTGCGTAGCAGAATCGCTGAACTACATTTAAAAATAAAGAAAAATTTTGATGTTAAATATTGGATTTCATGTGGGTTTCAGGTGATACTTGATGGGCCAGCTGTTGATGCTTTGCTAACATACAGAGAAACATGGCCAGCAACTTCCGGAGCTACATCTGGGACCCCGTCCTCATTATATGTCAGATCGTACTGATGCAGTGCATCTACTACAGTTTCCTTGGCCTGTGGTTGGCTGGAGTGGACAGCCTTGTGCAGAATGGCCGGTCACTTGATCAGATCTTCAGCTATGAAGTGAGTTGGGGAATCCTTCATCTGTTCCATCATTTCTCTCTCCGCTCTTGAACCTGCATTCTTTTTATGTTTGCTCTTTTTCCACAGGTCCTTGGTTTTGCGACGATGCAGGGCAGGCTGTCAATGATGGCCTTCATCTTGAACTCTCTTACCTGGTGAGAATTAGCTGTATTCTTTAGCACATTTAAAGGGACAGAGACATTAGGAGGTGTTGTCGGAAAATTTTTATTTCTCTTCTATTATATATTAATTCATCCTATTTACTCACTATAAAAGTTTTCACTCAGTCTGTTTCTCTCTCAAGGCCACACAATTTTCTGCGGGATGGTGTTTGTAGACCAGACATAGCTTCTTCCCATAACAAACCAGATTCTTTCTCAAGGTTTATTCTTTCTGAGGTCACCTCAGATCCTTTACCCCGGTACAGGGCGGAACTGACACCTGCTCATGTTTATCTATTTGTAGAAATGACCAAAAAACAAGCACATGGTGTTTCATCCACACGCCTTTCAAATGGGGCTTTAAAATTTTCAGGTGGACTTTCTCACTTTTTACCCACTTATCACAGTAAATATAGCTGCCATTGTTCCAGGCAAAGAAAGGATAGGATAGCTCCGCCCAACGTGCATCAGACCCAATTTTTAACCGCGCAGCCAGAGCAGCAAAGATGCTTCAGCCGCGCGTCAGAACTGAACTTGTACAAGCATCAAAAACGAAGCAGAACGCGCGTTTTTGTTGTTCCTGCTGCTTGCAGTGTGAACGTAGCATTGGAGGTACAGGTCATCAATGATTGGTAACAAAAGAACACACATTTTTTCATGAAAATAGCTGCTGATGATCGCCTCTAGATGTAACCTTTCCTCTAAAACACTGAGCCTCTATCCTCTCTCTACCTGCTTATGTCACTGTCAGTCTCTGTTTTTAACACGAATGGTTGAAGAGTCTCCTTTGTGTTCAACATATAATCATTCTGCAGCTTTTTAAAATTCTACCAGGCTTCAAACCTGGTAGAATTTAGTTGTTTTTATTTTTTTATTTCATATAGCCTACAGTCTCTTTAAGGGACATGTCATCTGAGCTACAAGCTAATGCCAGCTTCCTTCTGTTCCGGCAGCGCTCTCGGGTTGTGGTTCTTCATTCGTCGAGGGAAGCAGTGCCTGGACTTCACCGTCACCGTTCACTTCTTCCACATGATTGGCTGCTGGATCTATAACTCCCACCTCCCCTCAGCTCTCTCCTGGTGGCTGGTCAACGTGGCCTGCATCGCGCTGATGGCCGTCATCGGGGAGTACCTGTGCATGCGGACTGAGCTCAGGGCGATTCCAGTCAATACTGGACCTAAATCCAACCTGTGAACTCTTTCTCCTGTTTTATTTAGTTTTTTTGAGACACGAGGAACTCAATGCGAAGAGTAAACCTTCATGAACGGACAGACTGAAATGTTATGAATCCTGTCATAAAGTGGTCCTCCAGCCCACCTGATATTTATTCATAGCTGCTTGTTTAATGTTGGACAGTATTTTCTCTGTAGCTTATTAAAAATGTGTCTTTTATTGTTTTTAAAAGCGTATTTCGCTACAGCTGGGAGTTATAGTTTGTATGTTTACTCATCTTAATATCTTTTATTGTCACATGATGATAATGTGTGCAATTTATACAAACTGTGCCCGCATCATCATCATCCTCATTCTGCAAGTTTTAGGCGCAACAAAATAGTGGAATAAAAAAAAAAACAAGCTTTTTTAAGGGGATTTTATTTATTAGTAGCTGTACTGGCAGTTGCGGTTCTAGACCAAATGTACCAGGGGGGCAGCGTGTTTTCATGGGGGCCCAGAAAAGCATTTAATGAAAAAAAAAAGAGCAAGGGATTCAAATATATTAAGAGAGCTGCATGAAGGGAAATTTCTATTCATCTAGGTTAACTTAA